ATATGCATTTCTTTTTTCTTATAGAATATCAAGAGATAGAGAATGAAAAACCGAAAAAAACAGAGGAATATCGTAATGATTATCATCGTTTTTATTCAAATGGATCATATCATAAAAGTACTTCAACAATAACTGATACATCATCAAGTGAATCATCAGAATATGAAGAACTTAAAATTCAAATTTATAATGGAAAATCACCAAGATCTATGTCATTTACTGATGAAAAACCAACATTACCATTAGTAAGATTTTTTTTTGTTTTTTAATTTTCAAAACATATTTTATTGTAATATACTTTCTTTCTTTTTTTTGATAGATTAATGAAGAACAATTAAATGAAGAAAAACAACATATGAAAATTGATATATTGAATGGCAAAGATTTATATGGTCAACGACATATTACATATTTTGATCCATCTATTAAATTTCAACATGTTGAACCAATTGAACAATTTGAAAATGATGATATTATTTCACGAATTCCAATGAATAATTATCAAATAAAAAATGTAAATTTAAAACTATAATATATTTATTTTAATTTAAATTAAATTAAATTAAATTTTACATTTGTTTTTGAAAACTTTTTATAAGTCTATATATCAATATTTTAGGAACGTGATTCAACAGTTCGAATTAAATTTGAACTTCCACCTCCACCACCAATTGATGATATTCAAGAAGAACATATTTATGAGGACATTCCAAATATTATTCCTAATCTAGAAATTTCTACCACGCATTTCATCCAACAACAATCGACTCCAATTCAAGATAATCATTTCAGTACAACTGAACAATTACAATTTATTTCCTCTTCACCGAATTCACTCGATGAAGTTTTACATAATGTTGAGCAATGGTCTGATATTATTGTTGATAATGATACACGTTTACCATCATCACCACGTCGAATTTCACAAATTTTACATTTACTTCCATCAACAAATGAATATGTCGATGAACCATATATGAATCATCGATTAGATATTAATTCAATTAATATTCTAAATCTTTCTTTAATTGATAAATCAATTCAAGAAATTCCACTTGATATGAATCTTGTAGTTTATGAACAACCAAATGAAATTGAAGATCAATCTATATTAAATATACAGTCGAGCACTCTAACTACTAATGAAATTATTGTTGATGAATATTTAACTAATGTTGATAAAAATGATTGTATTGAATTTTTACAATCGTTTGAAAATGAAATATTAACAAGTCAAATTGAACTTAGTGAATTATCAAATGAATCATATGATCAATGGAAATTTGTTAATGTTGATAATCAAATAACATCGATTATGAAACAACAAGAAGAAAATAAAACATTAATTTCAACATATTTATCAAATGTTATTGATCAAGTAATTGAAAAAATTCATGTCGGAGATGAATTATTCGAAGCTAAAAAAACTTTTATTATCGATATTCAAGCACCAAATGAACAACTATTATCAACAAACAATATTGATATTGATTTACTATTAAATCAATTAGATAATAATTCTTCAATACAATCGACTTCATTTAATTTACTTCCAATAGAACCAACTTTATCTAATGATATTATAGACAAAGAAATTTTAACATCAAATATACATAAAATTGAAGAAACATATGAAATTTTATCAAATAAAATTGTTGATTATATTGATATACCAACATGTAAAACATATTTAGTTGATCAAAAACCTGAAGCTATTATTATTACTACTGAAGAAATTTCAACGAATAATTCATCTGAATATTTTCCTATGTCAAATATACAAATAGAATCTGTACAAACAACACAAGGTATATTTTTGAAAAGTTTATAATAAATTGTTTTTTTATATTTTATGTATTTAGATATTCGAACAAATGAACAATCTTCTATTATATATCGTACTATTATTAATGAAAAATTACCGAGTGAATCATTAGAATCTTTATCTGTTCCAGCTCAATTAGATTTATTACCACTTGCAACAATGCCCGATCAAACAACAAATATAGATGAACAACGTATACCAGATAGAATTGTTCAAGATGTTCTTTCGGCTTCACTCAAACCAAGAAAAGTTACACATATTGAAGGTACTACAGAAATCATACCAATCATTTTATCTTCATCAACAGATAATTCAAATCAAATTTCTTTTATAAATGATTATGATGAATTTTTTGATGTTGAATCAGAATTTTCAAATGAAATGACAAAAACAGATGTTACATTAATTACATCATTAGAAAAACCTCCAATTACTCTTGCTGTAGCTGAAAAATTACAACATGATGCAGCTATTGATGATTTTAATGAAATTAAACTTGATTTAACATTAACAAAAAAACTAATTAGTGTAGAAAATTTTACTTCAATAGAAGATGAAATGAATACATTAATATCTTTACCATCAGAAATAACTGAAAAAGAAGAACAGACTATTGAAAATCAACAACAAATTGATTCTAATAAAAAATCTAAACTAATTAAAAAGAAGAAACAAATTGTATTGCAGAGTCCCGTTGAAGAGAATCAAAAACTGCTACTTACTGAAGAATCAAAATCAATCGACGAACAAATGACAACAACAACAACAACAACTGAAGCGATAACATCAATTGATCAAAATATTCAAGAAACTATTTCTTCAGAATTAGAAAAACAAAATTCTTCGGAAGACATATCTGATTTACAAAAAATTTCTGATGGAAAGAAAAACGAACAAATTATCATTGAAAAATCAACATCAATTGAATCATTCAATCAAAAACAAATTGATCAAGATCCGTCATCAGAAAAATTATCTATTTTTCAACAGGAATCATTACAAATTGAAGCTATTCAAATATCATCACCTAACGTATCGATCACACATGTAGAACAAGAATTGATTCGTCCAAAATTTTCTCTTCGCCTGAAACCAACAACTATAATAAATAATAATGATAAACTTCAACTTGAAGTTCATTTCATTGGTCAACCTGAACCAAAGGTAAAAACCAAGTAACGCTCGTTGTTACGGATCATTTGATCCTCGAGTGAATGTTCAACTCTTTCTATATAATATACTGCTATGCAAGCCTAATCGATACTAATATCAAATATATGCATGACGGTGGGTGCGAGTACGAGTATGGATGTTCATGTACATGTGAGTGTTGGTGTCCGTATGGCTTTGGGTATAAGTGTCCGTGTGATTCTTCCTTTCACCTATTCAATCAATCACACTCATAATCTTACACCCACATCCTTATTTCGAATGTGATCCTCACTTCAGTCTAAAGAAAAAAAAAGAATTTTTTTTTATTATCATGTATTATATGACTATCTGTTTTATATTTTTATATAGGTAACATGGTATTTTAAATCAAATGTGCTTGTACCTTCATCTAATGTACATATTGATCAATCACATGATATTCATACGTTTAGTTCAATATTAACTATCGATAAAATAAATTCTAATTATGATGGTAAATTTAAAGTAATAATAAAGAATGAATTAGGTGAAGCTGTTAGTGTTGCACAAGTAAATGTTAAACGAGGTGTGTAAATTTTGAAAGACAAAAATATATACAATTGAATTATTATTTTATTTTAGAATGTGTAGCTCTACAACTTCATGTACCTATGAAAAAAACACTCATGAACAATACTTCAATGTCTTCAAACAATGAGTAAGTGTGTTAACTAGAGATGTACACGACGAAGTTTTCTTTTTGTTCCGCTGATTTCGATCTAGAGAAAACTATTTCAGACTTTATTCATATTACATTTAAAACAATTCTTTAATAATCGTTTTTTTAATTGATTTTGTCGACGATTAGCACTTTTTTAGATTATCTTTCTTGTATTATATTCTGATTAATATGATTTATAAGATAATACGCTTAAAACTATAGAATATTTAACTGTAATCTTTAGATCCTGTTGAGGTAAACTTTTTTCTCGTAGCGTCGGTCCCAGTTTCAGTAACTTCTTTGTTCTGCGCTCCTAGTCATGATTTTTCCCTGCTGTGGTCCCGTTCGATAACTTCTCAGTTCGGTCCTAATATTATCAATTACAATGATTCATGATGATACTTAATACTGAAGAGAGTAACAGAAACAACCCAGATGTTATCATTATTTATAATGCACGGACACTTTATATATACAGATAATGAAAAAATCAATTTGCTTGTTTTTTCGTTCTTTACAAATTTTGTTTTTACCGTTTTACCGCATTGAATTGCTAATGGTAAATCTTGATAGTTAAGTAGAAGTACATTACTATGTGTAGTTATGAATCTCATATTACTTATTATTCGCTTTTCGTATTCCATTTGTGTCTGTCTTTATGATGATCGCTGACATGTCATTTGGTTTAAGTCGGATTAGTACATGGGTTGTATTCTACCAATGATTGTTCGTGAATGAATTCTTTAAATGATTAATCATGAAGATAAATGAAGGTTTATTATCTGCTTGTAATTTGATGAATTATGACCGAACGAGAAATGGACCAAATCCAAATGAAAGATCATCAGATAGGATCGAAATAGGACTGTCCGTGATCCCTCAAATCTCTAGTTTTAACCTTATTTAATGCTTTCTTACTCAATTATCTTATCTTTTATGTATTGTCTATGTACATGATTTTTTTTTTATTGTGCTTAAATGATTGTCATAATATCTTTTATTTGTAACAACAAGGTTTATTAGAACATAAACTGTTATCAGTGTCAATACCCATGAAAAAGAAATGAATGAGCTAAATATATCCTTATGAATGAAGCCGTTTAATTATTTTCCGCTTCTTTCTATAAACTAGTTAAATACATATTTTTCTCTATCCCAAGGTCGTTCTATACTAATTTATCTTCGTTAAATTACTTTGGCTTTATCTCTTCATAAAACAAGAAAAATAATTATTATACTAATTGCTTTCGTTGATAATTTTGTCATATAAAATCTACTAGACATTTATTAAGAAGTGCACGTATTAAATATCACTTTGACGAATGTTAAATAATAATAAACAAATAAATACATATATACATGAAGCAACATGAAAAACAAAACATCGTACATTTTTTGTTTTGTTTTGTCAAAAATGCTTGATTGAATTCTAGTAAATACGATAAAGAAATAACGATGCAAAGATCTACAAAAAAAAATACGTGTCTAACCAATAATCAAAAAATATCCAATGAAAAACCATATAAAAATATCTATGTTTATTATTTTTTCTGTCCGTTTGCAGCTTATACAGAAACTTATGCATGTATGCAAGCAATATATAATTAACTAATCCATTGCATTTATTATATTTTTTCTTTATTATTATTTTTTTCTTGTGTTTTGGCTAGCTATTTATCGCATAATTATACAAGAACAACATGTAGATAGCAACTTGTATTATTGAAAAAGATAGAATGCGGTCGGTATTCTTCGTCAATGTACACAGAAAATAACAGCATGTTATCGCTTGTCAACAGTAGAAAAGAAAGAGAGAAAAAAAAACAAACGTAATCTAAACAGAAATGTAACGGATGTATCCATTTAGATAGTTTCTCAAAGAGGAAAAACCAAAAGACGAATCGGTTACCGATGATTGTCAGTATGACAGTCAAGAAAAAAAAAGACCTCTGTTTGATGAAGAAAACAACAAGTTAAAGAAACGACGAAAAAGTGGGTGGAGACAAGTAACAGAAAATAGAACTTTTCTTTTTTTTTTGTTGTCGTTGTTGTTGTTGTCTATTTCTTCTACTGTACAAAAGTTCTGCACTCACACGATCAAGAATCGCTAATATTTTCATATACACGAACGGATAATTCATTTGCAGGAAAAAAATATATAAGATAAACAGTAGTGCCCACAACTTACTGAAGTATTACTGAATATTTTTTTTTTCTTATGCTTATCCTTGTTATGAGGTGAAGACTAACATAATTATAAGAACAACAAGTATACAATTAATTCGACGAGAGAGGTAAACCACCAAGTCAAATTGACAATCGACGTATATGACATTATTTTTGGTAACAGGAACGTTATTTATATACACAGTTGCATTATTGCCATATAAGACCAACTGCTCGTCGGCAGTAATCTTCTATATCTTTGTATGATTAATCATTGTTACTTAAGTTATAATTTTTACTCTTGAGATTAATAATCCTAATCATTTTTAAAGAAATTAAATTTTTGACCTATATTCATTATAAAAATATTTATTTTTTATAATTATTATTGTTATTATTATTATTATTATTTTTGTCTATTTTTTTTTCTCTAGTAATAATTATATATTGTCTTCGAATAAAAATAACGGTGAAAGTGAAAAAATGCTTAATGAAACTTCTAATGCTACTGTGAGACGTCCTTCTTACAGTACATTAGTTATACCTGAAGGAAAGCCTAGTTTTCCTCAAGCACTTGAAAATGAATTATTTATTAATGAAGATGATCCACTTACGTAAGAACAATAGATTTATTTTTTTGTTATTTTTTATCTATTAAAAATATTTAGTCTGGAATGTGTAATTGCTGGTAATCCATTACCTGAATTAATTTGGATACATAATGATCGTAAAATAGTTATTGGAGATGGTTATGATAGAAAAATTGAAACATTAAATCCTCATACTGTTCGTCATCAATTACATATAGCTTCTAAACATAAAAAATTAGGTGTTTATAAAGCTCAAGCACAAAATACCTATGGTCATACAATAAGTATATGTAATGTTAAAAAATCTGCACAATCAATTGATCGACGACGAGCTGCTTTTGAAGAATCCGAATTACAAGCTCCTGCTCCACCTATTCCAAGACGTCGTTCAAGTACAACACAACCTAATATTGAACAAACTCAACCAATAACACAAAAACCAGTTATTATTCAAGGCCTTTCAACTTATCAAGTTGATTTAAGTTCACCATGTGCATTAACATGTAAATCAAAATATGATACTGAATATCAATGGTTTAAAGATGGTCAACCTTTTGATCCTAAAAAATTAAAAGATGCAAATATATTTACAAAAGTTGATCGTTCACAAGATGGAAATATACATGTACTTAATATAAAACAATTTAAACAAGAAAATTCTGGTCAATATGAATTAATATTAAAAAATAGTTTAGGAGAAATTAATTCTAAAGGACAATTAGAAATGAAAGGTGTACCACCAACATTTACTGTTGAACCAAAATCAACAGCAGGTGTTAAAGGAAAAATGGTAGAATTTAATTGTCGTGTTGTTGGAAGTCCTAAACCAGAAGTAAATCTCTTTCTTATTTCAATATAAATTAATAAATCTATTAAATCATCTTTCATTTAGGTACAATGGTTTCTTAATGGACAACTTTTACATTCAGGTGGTAAAATTTCTATTGTTGAGGAACGTGGTTTAGTTGTTCTTCGTATAAATAATATAGCAGATAATGATGCTGGTACAATAAAATGTCTTGTAAAAAATAGTTTATCAGAAATATCACGTGAAGTTCAATTACAAATAACTGGTGAACAACGTGCACCAGTTATAATTGATAAATCAAAATCAGTTGAAATCAAGCCTAATGAAAGTGTAGAATTTTTTGTTAAAATATCTGGTTCACCAAAACCAACAGTTACATGGACTCGAAAAGGAATATCAATATCTCCAAATGAATTATACCAATTAAGAACAGAAAATGATATGTATTATTTATTAATTAAAAAAGCTGTTGCTGATGTTATGGGAACTTATGTTATAACAGCTAGTAATGTTAATGGAAAAAATTCAACAGAAATTGATCTTGGTATTACAGGTTAGTTTAAAAAAAAATAAACATATTCATTTAGATATATACATGCATATAATTAATTGTATTTGTAGGTTTGGCTACATTATTTGAAAGACCATTACGTGATACATCAGTTACACATGGACGTCCATTAACACTTGATTGTGAAGTTAATACTAAAAAAGGTGTACCAACAATTGTTTGGTAGGACAAAAATAATTTTTTATCGAACTGTTGAAGAGATATATATAGAGGATAGACTAAAAAGGAACAATACAAGAGACAACTTATAATCAAGGGCAAAGAGCAATGAGAGAAAAATCAGAATTATAATCGATAAATAATTGTAGAAATGTTATTCTTTCAAGTATTGCTTATAAGAATTAATTGAGAAACTAATGGTTTATTTTCTAAAAAAAGATATTTTTTCAGATAAACATATAGACACAACCCCTAAAGTATTATTATAGCACGCACATAATACGTGCCATAAGATAGATCTGCTAAAGGTATTATGCATATGTGTTCGTTCTTTGTCTTTCTATGCATATATATGTTCTTAACTATAGCGGCAATGCCAAGCGTCATGGAATTTCATTTTTTTAATATTGTAACACTTATATCTCATCAATAATCAATGCAAATTCTCTGAAATTTTTATCATAAATATAGATCATTTAAATCTCTTACCAATAAAAATTTCATTGATTTTTCTTTAGTCATATCTGAGTTATTCAAAAGGTATTGACCGACACGGAATTTCAAAACAATGGAATTACTTTTTTTTAAGGTGAAATGAGAGTTTAGTATTTTACTATCAAGTGAAACGACATATAAATAAATGTTCTATATGAACGTTGTTCAGTTTTCTACAAGTTTTTAGAATATCAGGTCATTTCTTAAGAAACATAATTGCATCGAATAAAAAAGTAAAAATACTGTACGCCATGGAAATTTTGTCTTTTGCTAACATTTTAATGAAGAATATTTAAGAACTTAACATTTCAAATTGTTATGATAAAAATCCATCTTCTTGCTAATCCATGAGTATTATAAAGAGAGTTTTACTCTTACCACGAAAGCATATTAGGACTTCTATCTATTTTTCAGGCAAACAATGTCATGTAACAATGTGCAGAACTATACTTTTTTTTGATGACATTAATCAATAAATCTTCCTGTCAGATAAACAATGGGATTTATATCTCTCGTCTACTGAGTATCTTAGAGCTTGCAACATGTTTGATAATCTGTCGATAGTACAATTTTTATTGTAGAGACAGTTTTCTTTATTTTTGTGTTTCCGAACTCTCCCCATGTGAGGGTGACCAATAGCTATCTCTGTTCTTTCATTCTGTCAGGTATTCTTCCTAGTGTTCTATTGCTCTCTACCTTTACTATCTCTTTTCCTTTGATGCAGTAGTTCATGTATTTTGCCAACTGTTTTATATTATCTATTGGTATATTTCACCTGTCCATTAACATCTAATATATATATATATATATATCGGAGATGTCGGTCATGGCTGAAAATCTGTCGCTTGGTAGATTCACCATGATTCAGATTGTTGGACTTGCAGACACTCAAATCGGATGCAAATCCATGAAATTTTATGATCTTCATAAAAAAGAAGCTACCGCGATAGTATTTTTGAAATAACTTCTTTGCCACTCGTTCTGTCGTGGCGACAGTGCCAACATGGATATCTATAATATATACCTGTTGTTTCTATGTGGGGACGATCTGATTTAAACTTCATCAATAAACTTTTATACACAACCATATTATCGGATCTAACAGGCATCTACGTTGAAAATCCATAAGTATGATTTCCAATTTCAAGAAGCTTCTTCAGAAATCATGATGAATTTTTCGAGCTTTTCAGTGGAAAGGCCAAAACCATATCTATAGAAAAAATAATAATAAGTCCTATTGTAATTACAGCCCCTTATCATAGCCCAATGCATAGCTAGAAGATCACTTGACAAGATTCTAGATGAATTTTTAATTGGTACATAATATAACGATATTTGATGTTCATATCAGAATGTTGTTCAAATAAATATACAAAAAAAAAAATGCTCGCACATATTTCTCAATATCGGTTTTTTGCATAAATTGTTGAATGCCGAACGGATTTCTTATCGATAATGTTCGTTCAAGTGAACTACGGTTTTCTTTTTATTCGATAAATAGATACATTCTCTCCCTCTTGGATGAAAAAAAGAAATTTTGTATGCAATCCTCAATATGAAAGCAAACATGAGTTTTCTAGAAAATATTGCCTGAGTTTTTTTTGGATTTGAATATTTTGAGAGTCCCAGAAATAAAATAAAATAAAAACTAAAAAAAAACCTTTTCTCTCATCTGAAGAGATAAGGAGTTATCTTTATAGTAATAACAGTCCGAACGGTGTAGCTTGAAATCTATTGAAAAAACATTTGTACACTATGACTCCTGGAAACCTCCTGAACAGTAAGATTTAGAGTCAATAAAAAATTTTTTTAATAGTATACTGTCATTAGCTAAACATCTTTAATAAGTTTCATAGGAATTCTATACACTGTATCAAAAATTGGTTTTGAAGTAGGAGGAGACCTTCAATCATAATGCGGAATATGTTCTCTATTTTTTTTTGACACTTTCTTTTTATTTTGGGGCATTTTATTGTTTTTTTTATTTAAATAAATTCTAGGATGAAAAATAATCAACCAATAGAAAAATCAGATCGTATTGTTGCATCAACGAAAGGAAATAAAGTTCATGTCTTAACAATAAAACAAGCTATACCATCCGATGCTGGTTATTATAGTGTAAAAGCTACTTTAGGTAGTGAAACAAGTACATCTGATGCTCAAGTTGTTGTTGAAGTTGCTCCAACATTTGTTAAACTACCAGAAATAGTCACTGTTGTTGATGGACAAGATTGTGAAATAAATATTGAAGTATCTGGTTTACCACCTCCTCAAGTTAAATGGTCCTATTTAGCTGAAGATTTAGTAACAAATGCTAAATATAAAATAACATCTAGTGATACGAATCATCAATTACGTGTTCAACGTGCAACAGCAAAAGATGCCGGTGAATATCAAGTTGTTTGTTCAAATAATCTTGGTCGTATAACAGGAAGAATAGAAGTTCGAATATCATCACCACCTGTTGTAGTTCAACCATTAAAAGATTTACTTATACCAATAAAACGTACTGCTCGATTAGAAACACAAATTTATGCATATCCAGAACCGAAAATCGTCTGGTCAAAGGATGCAATACCAATGGATTTTAGTTTAGCTCCTGCACGAATAAATGCTGAAGATCGTCGAGGAACTTATGCATTAGTTATTAAAAATGTACAATTAGAAGATAGTGGATTTTATGTATGTACAGCACAAAATCCACTTGGTTCAACTAAAACATCAGCTACATTAACAATTGAAGTTGCACCAGTATTTTTACAAAAATTAGAAAAATTAGAAGGTGTTGAAAATTGTGATATTGATATTCGTGTACAAGTTGCAGGTTATCCAAGACCTTCATTAGTTTTTTCATTTAATCAAAAACCAATTGATTTAAGAGATCGGTATGATTTTAATTCTTATATTTTTCTTTATGAAAATATTTTTTTTATGATATTTTTTTTCTTCTTCATTAGATATTCATTAAAAGAACTTAAAGGTGGTTGGTATGTATTTACAATTGCAAATGCACGAGCATCCGATGCTGGATCATATTCATGTACAGCAACAAATTTACTTGGACAAGCATCATGTGTTGGTAAATTAACATTATTTCGTAAGTAATTTTATTCAAATTTTTCATTAAATATTAATTTCTTTATTTTATTTTTCAGCATTATCACCACCAAATTTTACAAAAAATTTAAGTGATGCAATATTTCCTGTTGGTGGAATATTAAAAGCTGATCTTAAAGTAAATGGTTTACCATTTCCACGTTTAACATGGCTTAAAGATGGACAAGTTTTTGATGAAAATGATCGTACATCAATTGTATATGATACACGTTCAGCAACATGGACATTAACAATACGTGATTGTCAAGAACATGATACAGGCGTTTATGAATGTCGTGCTAAAAATCCTGGCGGAGAAAAATCAACTAAATGTACAATAACAGTTTCTGGTGAAGCACCATCATTTACAGATGCACCAGAAAAAGTTAGTTGTTTGGCAGGGCAAACAGCTGTATTTGGTTGTCGAGTATCAGGTGATCCATATCCATTAGTTGTATGGTCAAAAGGTAAAGGAAAAACATTTACAGAAAATACACCAAAATATGCACTTTATTATGATGATGAACTTGATGCACATTTTTTTGAAATTAATCAATGTTCACAAGCTGATACTGGAACTTATACAGTTACAGTTCAAAATGTACATGGAACATTAACAAAACCTGTTTCATGTTTTACTGTAACAAAACCAGATGAAGTTATTGATTATAAAAGTATTTTACGTAGAATGTAAGATTAGAAGATTTAAGAATTGATATATTTTATTTTTTATTTTTTATTTCATTGTATAGGGTAGCTTTAGTACGTGATCGTGAAGGTGGTCCTGATTGGGGTAAATTAAAAAAAGGTAAAGGTAAACCAAAAGGTCCAGGTGATCCTGGTTGGCAATATCAATTAAAACATTTTGAATTAACTGGTGATGCACAATTAAAAACACGTGCAAAAGGTGAAGCTGGTGATTTAATAGGTTTATCACCTACTGATTTTGTTAAACGTCGATCAACAGCAGGTACAGATGGTAGTGGAAATTTAGACGATGATGATGGACATGGATTAGGTGTACCAAAATCAGGAACCGGTAAAGATCGTCGAATATCACGTCTTGGTCTTGTAACATTTACAAAACCACTTTCAAATATAACAGTACATGAAGGTAAAAATGCTGCATTTGAATGTAATGTATCTGAAGCTGAAGCACCTGTAACATGGTATATTAATGATCAACCTGTACCAAGTCAACGTGCACAAACATTATCAATTGGTAAAACACGTCGTCTTGTATTAAAAGATTGTTTATTAAATGAAAATAATTCAAAAATAACATGTGCACTTGATGAAGCAACAAAAACAGATGCACAATTATTTGTTAAAGAAGAACCATTTGATTTTACAGATAAATTAAAAAATTTAAAAGTTAAACGTGGTGATAAATGTGAATTACAATGTACAGTTAATAAACCTAATATTGCATTACAATGGTTTAAAGATGGTAAACCAATAACAGATGTTAAAGAAGAAGTTGATGGTTTAGTTCATCGATTAATTATACCAAATACTACTGATGCAGATAAAGGTGTTTATACAGCAAAATATCAAGATCTACAAACAGAAGGAAATGTAGAAATATTAGGTATGTTTTATGATTTGTTTATTTTTTCTTTTCATTAATCTGTTATCGTTTTTGTTCTTTTATTTATATTTCAAAAGGTCCACCACAAATTGTTAAACCTCCAAATGATTCTATTCTTCTTGTTGGTCAATCTGTTCTTCTTACTGCTGAAGTAACTGGTAGTCCAAAACCACAAGTTACATGGTTATTTAAAGGTCAACCACTTAAACCAACAGTAACAAAACATCAAATTGATACAAAAAAAGATGGTGTACATATTTTAAATATTCTTAAAGGTGAACCAGCTGATGAAGGTGAATATACAATTATGGCTGAAAATGCTGTTGGTAAAGTTCAAGCACAAGCTAAAGTAAGAGTATGTACAAAACCAAAAGTCGATAAATTAGCTGATGTTTCGGTTAATATTGGTGAAAATGCTCGTATACAATGTCAATATTCAGGTAATCCAACACCAACTATAACTTGGTATAAAGATGGAAATCCTATACCAAATAATGATCAACGATTTAAAATTACACAAGAAACAACAACATTATCTGTATTAACAATTAATAATACAAATATGGATGATAAAGGTGTTTATTCAGTTAAATTAACAAATATTGCTGGTGAAGTTGAAGGAAAAGCTAATTTAATTATTAAACGTAAGTTTAAATAAAATAATTATTTTCTAAATATTTATTTTATCTTATTCATTTTTTTTCATTTAATTTATAGCAATTAAACCAACTATAACTCGTGATCTTGATGCAGCATATACAGGTACAAAAGATGAAGATCTTATATTATCAATAGCTGGTACTGGTAATCCAACTCCAACATGTCAATGGTTTAAAAATAATACTGAATTAACATCAACAACAGATAAACGTATACAATTTAAAGAAGATAAAACAACAAATGAATATTTTCTTATTATTAAAAATGCTAATCAAGATGATTTGGGAGAATATCAAGCACAATTAACTAATGTTGCTGGTTTAATTAAATCAAAAAAAAGTAAAGTTAATATACAAAAACAACCAACATTTATTAAAAAACCACAATCAATTACTGTTAATCAAAGTGATACAAGTAAAATTGAATGTCAAATTGATGCATTACCACAAGCAAAACTAACTTGGTTAGCTAATGGTAAACCAGTTACAATTAAAGATGGATATGAAACAACATTTGATACGAAAACTGGTATTGCAACATTAAATATTAAAAATATTACAACAAAACATGCTGGTCCAATAACTATTCGTGCTGAAAATGTGGCTGGTTCAGCTGAAGAAACTGTTGATATTAATGTTCGTTCAGCACCAATACTTCTTAAACCATTAACTGATACAGAAGTTATTACTAATAATGATGCAACATTTACTTGTGAATTTCAATCATCACCAACAGCAAATATTCAATGGTTTGCTAATGGTAAACCAATAAATTCAACACCAAATAAATATGATATAATATATGATAAAAAAACAAATCAACATAAACTTATTATTAAAAATACAACATTAGCTGATCATGGAACTTATACGGCAAAAGCAACAAATGAACTTGGAAATATTCAAACTGAAGCTAAACTTAATGTTACTAATGCACCAAGTTTTATAAATGGTTTACAAGATAAAATAGTTATTGCAAAAGATACAACTGAATTAAATGTTAAAGTTAATGGTATACCACAACCAACATTAACTTGGTTAAAAGCTGGAAAAGAAATAAAACCTGATGATAAAAAATATTCAATTGTACCTATAGATAAAGATGGCAATGCTAAATTAATAATCAAAGATATTAATGAAGATGATCATAGTTTATATTCTTGTATAGCTAAAAATAAAGTTGGTACAAATCAAACTGATGGTCATTTAAATGTAACAGCACCATTAAAATTTATTCAACCATTACAAGATACTGATGTACTTAATACACAAAATGCAACATTAAATTGTGAAGTACAAGGTATTCCAAAAGCAAATGTTAAATGGTAAGTTTCATGTAGAAGGGCAATAAAGAAAAAAAAAACTCAATGTTTTGTTTTTTAAATAGGTACTTTAATGATATTGAACTTAAATCAACACAAAAACAAACAATATCAAGTAAACAAAATGTCCATTCATTAACAGTTACTCGTGCTGATCTGACTGATGCTGGTAGATTATGGTTTTTTCTTTTTGTCTTAGTGATTTAAATATTTAATTTTTTTTTATCGCAGGTGTTTACAAAGCAGTTGCTGATAATGGTACGGGTAAAACCGTTGAAACAACATGTACTCTTACTGTTGGAAGTATGTATTTCCTTCTTTTTTTTTTGTTTTTATTAATCATATTGTTTCACATCATTTCTTTTTATTACTTTTCTAGGCAAACCAAAAGTCGAAGGTAAACCTAATGATGTTACTGTCAATGTTGAACAACCAGCTGTACTTGAATGTACATTTTCTGGTTTTCCAAAACCTGAAGTAACTTGGTTTAAAGATAATGTTCCTATTGTACCTGATCAACGTATAAAAGTTCATGAAGATAAACCAAATGTACATTCATTAAAAATTTCTTCATCACAAATTGATGATAAAGCAACATATACATGTAAAGCTAAAAATCGTTTTGGTGAAGTTGAAGCAAAAATGAATTTAAATGTTAATTCAATTAAACCAAATATTGTTCGTGATTTACCAGAACAACAAATTGTTGAAAAAAATAAACCATTAGAACTTCAAGTTGAAGTAACTGGTTTACCACAACCACAAGTTAAATGGTTTAAAGGTAATGATGAAATAAATCCAGCAACAAATAAAGATTATCAAATAACATTTGATAATAAACAAACATATACATTACATGTAAACAATTCTTCACCTGATCATCAAGGTGAATATTCAGCACAAGCTATAAATCCAGGTGGTACAGTTAAATCAAAGAAAACAAAAGTTATTGTACAAAAAAAAACCAGAATTTATTAAATTACCACAATCACAAACAGTTAAAGATGGACAACCAGTTGTATTTGATGCACAAATTGATGCTTATCCACTACCAAAAGTGACATGGTAAAAATTTTGTTTTGTTTTTGTTTTTAAAAGCCAAAAAACAAATCAATTTATTCATGAATCTCTTTTATTTAGGCTTAAAAATGATAAACCATTAACACCTGATCTTGGTTTTGAAAGTCAATTTGATGCTAAAACTGGTCAAATAACACTTAAACATAAAGGTGTAACTCCTAAACTAGCTGGTCCACTTATCTGTCGAGTAGAAAATGCAGCTGGTACAACAGATGCACCAGTAACACTTGATGTTCAAAGTAAATTTATTTATAAAAATAAAGAAAAAAAGAATCATAATTATTTTTCTTGTTTTTAGCTGCACCAGTTATTACAAAGAAATTAACTGATCAAGAAGTTATGGTTAATAATGATATTCGTTTTGTTGCTGATATTACAGGTTCACCTTCACCAAAAATATCTTGGATGAAAGATGATGTACCAATTAAACCTGATGCTCAACATATTATTGAATCTGATGGTACAACTCAAACATTAACTATTAAAAATGCTAAAATAACTGATGAAGGTAAATATCGTGTATTAGCTGAAAATCCACTTGGTCATGTTGAATCACCTGCACAATTAACAATTCTTGAACATCCAGTAGTTGATCAACCATTTGGTAATGTAACACAACCAATTGGTTCTGATGTTAATCTTAAATGTAAAGTTATTGGTGGTCGACCAAAAGCAACAATAACATGGCTTAAAAATGGTAAAGAATTTAAACCTGATGATCGACATAAAACAAAAGTCTTACCTGATGGTACATGTGAATTATCTATAAAATCAATTGATGAAACAGATAATCAAGATAAATATACATTATTAGTTAAAAATAAAGTTGGACAAAATGAAATTAATTCAACAATAACAGTTCAAGCACCATTAGAATTTGTTCAACCATTAAAAGATCAAGATGTTCTTTCACAATCACCATGTGTATTAACTGTTGAAACAAATGGAATACCAAAACCAACAGTTAAATGGTACATTAAATAGATTCTTTTTTTCTTGCAAAAAAAAACCGATCTAAGAAAGAGTGTTGAAGTATATGGGGTAGAGATTTACAGTCTTCGAAAATGCGACATACATTGTTAATATACGATTCAAAGATCGTATATTAATAACATCTTGTTCTAATATATGAACTACTCTTGTTATTGCAATTCTGAACGATTCAGTAAAAGAATGCTGAAGAAATATGTTTCAAAATAGATAGAATAAAAATTATTCCACTGAGATTGTACTAATATAGTTTTCTTTTTGTTCTATTTATTCTAATAGGTTTTTTAATGATCAAGAAATTAAAAATACTCCTAAAACTAAACTTGAATCTAAACAAAATACTCATACATTAACATTACCAAAAACTGAATTAACTGATGAAGGTACATATAAATGTGTTGCAACAAATCCTGATGGTACAGTTGAAACAAAAGCAAAAATTTCTGTGTGCAGTATGTTTATTTAAAAAAAAAAAGAATATGCTTGTCTTCTAATTATTTATTTCTTTTAGCTAAACCAAAAGTTGAAGGTAAAGTAAATGATGTTACCGTACAAATTAATGAACCAGCTGAATTACGTACTAAATTCAGTGCAATACCTAAACCAACTGTAACTTGGTGTGTACTTTCTCTCTCTTATTTATTTCTCAATTTTATATCATATCTTTTTTTTTCTGTTGTTTTAGGTATAAAGAAAGTGATTTAAAGACACCAATAAAACCAAATAATAATATTGAAATTAGTGAATTACCTGATGGTACAAGTGTATTGAAAATAAAAAAAACTGATTTAACAGATACTTCACCATATATTGCTCGTGCAACAAATAAAGTTGGTGAAGTTGATTCAAAAATAAATTTAACTGTTAAAGAAATTAAACCACAAATTTTATCTGATTTAACAAATGTAAATGCAATTCGTGATGAACCAGCACAATTTACTATAAAAGCAACAGGAAATCCTCAACCAACAATTCAATGGTTTAAAAATGATACGGAAGAAATTCTTCCAACAAATAAAGATTTTCAAATCATTCATGATAAACCATCTGATACATATAGTCTTAAAATAAATAAATGTAAACCTGAACATCAAGGTGATTATTCAGCTGTTATAACAAATTCTGGTGGTACAATTAAATCTAAAAAAGGTAAATTAGTTGTTACAAAAGCACCAGAATTTCTTGAAAAACCAAAACCAATTGATACAAATGAAAATCAATTAGCTGAATTTCATACAAAAATTGATGGTTTTCCAACACCAAAAATTACATGGTTATTTGATGGAAAACCAGTTACACCCAAAGATGGTTTTGATGTACAAACAGATCAAACAAATGGTACATCAGTATTAACAATTAAACAAGTTACACCTAAACATGATGGAAAAATTACTGTTAAAGCAGAAAATCCAACAGGTTCAGTTGAAGAAACTGTACCATGTTCAGTTAAAAGTAATAATAAAAAGAAAAATTTTTCTAAATATTTATTCTATTAATTGATTTATATTTTAGCGGCACCAAAAATTACAAAAAAACCAACAGATACAGAAGCATTAATACATACAGATGCAGTTTTTACTGTTGATATTGCTGGTTCACCGAAACCAAAAGTTGATTGGTAATTATTTATTTATTTTTATTCTTTAGATTATTATTTCTAATTGATTTTATTTTATTGAAAAGGATTCATGGTGGTCAAGTAATAAAACCATCAAAGAAATATGAAATTGTTGAAGATACACCAACAACATCAAAATTAATTATTCATGATGTTACACCAGAAGATGAATTACCTGTTCAAATTAAAGTTAAAAATCCTCTTGGTGAAACTGATACAACTGTTCAACTTAAAGTACTTGGTATGTATCGAAAAATATTTTTATATAAAACAATTCTTTATATTTTCATTTCTGTTTTTTTTTTATATTTAAAATAGAAACACCACGTATTGAACCTTCATTACCTGATAAAGAAGTAACATTAAATCAACCACTTGTTCTTAAAACAAAAGTTCATGGTCGTCCAAAAGTTGATGTTCAATGGTTAAAAGATCAAAAACCAATAACACCATCAGATCATATTAAAATTGAACAAAATGGTGATGATTGTACGTTAACTATTCCAAATGTTAAAGAAGAAGATATGGGTACATATACATTATCAGTTAAAAATAAAGTTGGAAAAGTTGATTCAACATCACATGTTAATGTAACAGCTCCATTAAAATTTACTGGTAAATTAAATGATCTAGACATTGTACAAGGTGCAAATGGTGTTCTTAATATTGAATGTGAAGGTGTACCGAAACCAAAATTAACTTGGTATGTTTACACACAAAAACAAAAATATTTTATTTTATTTTATTTTTTTAAAAGGTATTTCAATGATAATGAAATTAAATCTACTCAAAAGACTCGTATTGATACAAAAGGTCCACAGAGTTCATTAACAATCAATAAAGCTGATATGCCTGATATTGGTGTTTATAAAGTCGTAGCCGATAATGGTAAAGAAAAAATTGAAACAACAGCTCATGTTGATGTTTGTGGTATGTAATTTAACTTTCCTTTTTTTTTTTTTGTTATTAATCTAACATAAATAATAATTTTAGTTAAACCAAAAGTTGAAGGTAAACCATCGGATGTATCATGTTTATTAAATGAAACTGCTAAATTAAATGTTAAATTTACGGCTATACCAAAACCAACAATAACATGGCATAAACCTGATGGTACTGAAGTAAAACCTGATAAACGTATTCAAATTGTTAACGATGATAATGGACAATCAACATTAATTATTAATGATGCAACAACACAAGATTCTCAACCTTATACAGCACGTGCAACAAATAAAGTTGGATCTACTGATGCTAAAATTAATTTAACTGTTAAAGGTAAAATAGATCATTATTAATATTTAATCATTTTAAGTTTTTTCTTTTTGTGCTTTTTTTTTGTATAGAAGTAAAACCAACATTAAAAAATGATCTTGAACCACAAACAATTAATGTTGGTGATGAACTTGTTTATCGTCTTGCTGTTGATGGTCGACCAATACCAACAGTTAAATTCTATAAAGATGGAAATGAAGTTGGTCCAGTTACTATTGAACCACCAACTAAACCTGGTGATACAACTGCAATTGCAGTTCTTCGTATTCCAAAGGCTACAACTAATGATCAAGGTGAATATCAAGCTTCAGTTGAAAATCCTGCTGGTGTTGTTAAAACTAAAAAAGTTAAAGTTACTGTTCAACAAACTCCAGTTTTTCTCAAAGCTCCTGAAGATACATCTGTTAGTCAAGGTAAAGATGTTACATATGAAGCTCAACTTTCAGCATATCCAGTACCAAAAGTAAATTGGTTATTAAATGATAAACCATTAACACCAAATGCTGATTGTTCAATTACATTTGATGCAGCAACACAAAAAGCTTCATTAACATTACGTAAAGTTGATTCAGATAAACATACAGGAAAAATAACATGTCAAGTTGAAAATCCAGCTGGAAAAGTAACACATGATGCTAAACTCGATGTTCGTACACAACCAAAATTAACAAAACCATTAAAAGAAGAAAGTGTTATTCAAGGAAATGATGTTACATTATCTATTGAATCAACTGGAAATCCAGCACCTAAACCAGAATGGTATTTTAATGATAAACCTATTTCACCAAATGATCAACATTATCAAATAATAACACCAAAAGAAGGAAATACATATGAACTTAAAGTAAAACAAACAAAACCAACTGATGAAGGTAATTATAAAGTTGTTTTGAAAAATAGTGAAGGTGAAGTAACAAGTCAAGCTAAATTAAATGTTCATACAACACCTGTTATTGAAGCTTTACCAGCTAAAATTGAAGCTGTACAAGATGAAAAAGTTACTATTCGATGTAAAGTTTCTGGACGTCCAAAACCTGAAATAACATTTTTAAAAGATAAAAAAGATGTTACAACATTAGATGATAAAGAACGTTTTCATATTGAACATGATGATAAAACAGATGAAGTTCGTCTTATTATATCTAATGTTAAAGAAGAAGATCAAGGTAAATATACAGTACGTGCTAAAAATCCAGCTAATACAACTGAAGAACATACAAATTTAATTGTTAGTGCACCATTAGCATTTATTGATAAATTACAAGATACAGATGTAATTAGTGGACAAAATTTAACATTAACATGTCGTTGTCAAGGTATACCTAAACCAACAATAAAATGGTATCAAAATGATACTGAAATAAAATCAACAACAAAACAAAAAATTGAATCAAAACCCGATGGTACACAAACATTAACAATAAATCGTGTTGATTTAACTGATGGTGGACAATTTAAAGTTGTTGCAACAAATCCACAAGGTACGGTAACATCAACATGTAATGTTGATGTTCTTATGAAACCTAAAATTGATGGTAAAGTACAAGATACTCAAGTTGTTATTGATGAACCAGCTGAATTAAATGTTAAATTATCTGGTGTACCAAAACCAAATATTCAATGGTTTAAAAATGGTGAACCATTAAATATTGATAATAAACGTATGAAAGTTATTGATAAACCTGATGGTTGTTCATTACTAATTGATCATGCACAATTAGATGATAAAGGTTCATATACATTAAAAGCAACAAATAAAGCTGGTGAAGTTGAATCACCTAAAATAGCATTAAATGTAACAGCTGTACAACCAAAACTTAAATCAGATTTACAACCAACATTAAATGTTACCAAAGGTGAACCAATTGTTTTAACAATACAAGCTGATGGTAAACCAAAACCACAAGTTAAATGGTTTAAAGGAACTGAAGAAATTCCAGTAAATCAACCAGGTGTTAAAATGATTGAAGAAGGTGATAATACATATAAATTAATTATTGACAAAGCAACTGATAAAGATCAAGGAGACTATAGTGCAGTTGCTCAAAATCCTGGTGGACAAGTTAAAACAAAAAAGACAGCTGTTACTGTTACAAGTAAGTAGATCATAGTTTTGAATTCTTTTCATTAATCTTGTTTTTTTTTCTTCTCATTAAGAAACACCTGAATTTGTTACTAAACCAACCGATACAACTGTTAAACAAGGTGAAACAGCAACAATTGAATGTAAAATTGATGGTTTACCTGTACCTAAAATAACTTTATTACGTGATGGAAAACCATTAACACCTAAAGATGGTATTGAACAAACATTTGATGCTCCCAATAATCGTCTTGTCATAACCGCTAAAAATGCTCGTGTTGATCAAAGTGGTACATTAACTTGTAAATTAGAAAATCCAGTTGGAACAACTGAAACTCCATTTAAATTAAATGTTACAGCTGCACCAACTATATCCAAAGGTTTAACTGATCAAGAATGTCTTTTAGGTAAAGATCTACGTTTAACAGTTGCCGCATCAGCTAGTCCACAACCAACAGTTAAATGGTTTAAAGATAATGTTGAATTAAAAAATGTTGGTACTAAAGTTAATGATGATACTTATGAATTAGTTATACCAAATGTTAAACCAGAAGATGAAGGAAATTATAAAGCTGTTATTTCAAATCCTCTTGGAGATAAAGAATCTCAATGTAAAGTAAATGTTATTGAACCAACAGATCTTAAATGTGAATTTCCTGAACAACAAACAATTCAAGTTGGTAAACCAATTAAACTTGAATGTAAAGTTAGTGGACGTCCACAACCTGATGTAATATGGACAAAAGATGGTAAAGAAGTAAAACCATCGGATCATGTTGAAATAACTAAAAAACCTGATGGTACTTGTGCATTGACAATTAAACAAGCTACACCAGATGATAAAGTATAATAGAACTTGTTTTTTTTTTTACAATAAAAGTTTTAATTGAAAATCTGTTTTGTTTTTATTTTTGTAGGGTGTTTATAAAGTAACATGTAAAAATAAATTACAAACACGTGAAGCTCAAACACAAATTCAAGTTTCATCACCATTGAAATTTAATACAGCACTTAAAGATAATGTAGCACAAGTTGGACAAAGTGTTACACTTGAAGTTGATTGTGAAGGATTACCTAAACCAACAGTTAAATGGTAAATTTATTATAATAAAAAGCAAAAAAAAATAACAAAGAAATTATATATTTCATTATTTTAGGCTTTGTAATGGACAAGAAATAACACCATCAGCTAAACATAAAATAGAATCAAAAGGAAATACTAATAAATTAACAATACCTAAAGTTGATCTTGTTGATACGGGTGTCTATGAAGTTGTTGTTTCAAATGGTCTTGAAACTATCAAATCACAATCAAAACTTGATGTTTGTGTCAAACCTAAAGTTGAAGGTAAAAAATTAATACATACGAAATAAAAAAGAATTAAGCTTGTCAACGGAGCTCCTTTAAAAACTAAAATGTGGAATTCCCATATCTTTCTTTAGCTGCATTTTTTGCTACAAGAAATTAGGTAAAGAGAAAACGGATCTCTAACAGACGATAGTCATTTTTCAAGAATAATTGATCATCAAAGAAATGATATGTCCTATTTATTTCTGTATTTCAAAAAGAAGATTTCTTCTTTTATTTTTTATTTGACCTGTTGCTATTCACTCGTTATTTATTTTCTTTTTTTTTCATTCTATTCTTCTTAATTTCCTTTTATGATTACTCTAACCATCCATTTAACTGATAAATAAGGCTTTCGTATAAATCTATCATATCTACAGCTGATATCAACATGCTATTATGTATCTCGATAAACTCAAATATAGTGAATGTTTTACTAAAGGCTAAGGTTTTTTTTGTTAATATTGTTCAATGTCTTATTCCGTTACTAACGAACTATGGGAATGGAGTCTAGTGTATCACTATTTTCTTAGAAAATATACATGAATTCCATCAAAACCAAAAAAAAAAGAAACTTTCTTTCAATAATTTTTTATAGGTAAACCTACGGATGTTAATGTCCATATTGGTGAACCAGCTAAACTACAATGTAAAATCACTGCCTCACCAACACCAACCGTTACTTGGCTTAAAGACGGTCAACCATTGAAACCATCGGATAATGTCACTCCACATAGTGAACCTGATGGTACACAAACTCTTACTTTTAAATCTGCTCAAATGACCGACAAAGCAACATATACATGTCAAGTAACAAATGTTGGTGGTACAGCAGAAGCTAAATTAAATCTTAATGTTCAACAAATTAAACCAACTCTTAAATCTGATCTTAACAAAGATATAACTGCTCAAGCAGGTGAAAGAATTCCATTAACAATACAAGTATCAGGTACCAAACCTAATGTAAAATGGTATAAAAATGGTGAAGAAATTGATCAAACAACTGAAGAAAATATTGAAATTGTTGAAGAAGAAGAAACATATACATTTTTAATTAAAAATGCTAAACCAAAAAATAGTGGTGAATATCAAGCCGTTATTACAAATGATGTTGGACAAATAAAAACAAAAAAAATTAAATTACAAGTACAAAAAGCACCAGAATTAAAAAAGAAACCACAACCATTGATTACTGTTAAAGAAGGTGAACCAGCATGTTTTGAATGTGAATTTGATGGAAATCCACAACCAAAAGTTTCATGGTTACGTGATGGAAAACCATTAACACCTAAAGATGGTTTTGATATTAAAACAGATACAACAACTGGTAAAAGTACAATAACTGTAAATCAAGCAACACCAAAACATGCTGGTCCAATAACATTACGTTTAGAAAATTCAGTTGGTACACCTATTGAAGAAACTGTACAATTACAAGTTGAAACACCACCACAATTATTACAAAAACCACAACCAACATGTGAAGCACATTTAAATCAAACAGCATCAATTCCATTTAAATGTTTAGCATCACCAAAACCAAATATTAAATTATATAAAAATGAAATTCATATACCATTAACCGGTGATCATTATGAACTTGTACCAAATCCAAATGATTCAACAAGTTTTGAAATTAAAATTAAAAAAGTTCAACCTGATGATGAAGGAAATTATCGTATACATATTGAAAATCCTTTAGGACATGTTGATTCAAATGTTCAAGTAACAACAGTTGATAATGTATCAATAAAACCAACATCAAAACCAAATAAAACAGATTTAAAACAACATGAAACATTAAATATTGAATATATTGTTGATGGAAAACCAAAACCTGATATAACTTTTATGAAAGATGGTAAAGAAGTAAAACCATCACCTAAAACACAAATAACTTATGATGAAAAAACAAAAGTTTGTCGATTAGTTACAACAGATGTTAGTGAAGAAGATCAAGGTACTTATACATTAGTTGCAAAAAATAAATTAGGTAAACAAGAAAGTGAACCTATTAAAGTTAATGTTACAGCACCTATTGCTGTTAAAACAAAATTACCTGAAACAACTGATGCTGTACTTGGTGAACAAACAACCTTAACTGTTGAAGCTGAAGGTAAATAAAGAAAAGAAATACAATTAAATTTTATTTTCTCTTTTTTTCTTATAATTATTAAGGTCTTCCTCAACCAAAAGTCACATGGCTGTTCAATGGTCAACCAGTTAAACCAACACAAAAACATAAAATTGATACACCAAAAGAAAATCCAAATCAAACAACATTAACTGTTAGTAAATTAGATAAAACCGATGTAGGCAAATATACAGCTATTATTGATAATGGTGTTGAAAAAGTTGAAACAAGTACTACATTAAATGTTCATACTAAACCTAAATTAGAATCTAAACTTGAACCAACAACATCATTTAATATTGGTGAACAAGCAGAAATACCAATTCGTCTCAGTGGTGAAAATAATACAGTAACTTGGTATAAAGATTCTAAAGAAATTCGTTTTGATAGTCGTACTCGTATTGTAACTGAAGAATATAATTCTTATAAATTAGTTATTGATGATTTACGACCAGAAGATAAAGGTGTTTATACAATGGTAATTAAAAATAAAGCTGGATCCGTAGAAGTCAAAACTGTATTAAATGTCAAAGAACAAAAACCACAATTATTAGCTGATTTAAATGATTCTCCAGCTGCAAATACAGCTAAAATAGGTGAAGAATTCTTCTTAGAAATTCGCGCACAAGGTAAACCACCACCAAAAGTAGCATGGTTATTAAATGGACAAGAATTATCATCGACATCATCTGATTATGAATTAATTGTAACTGAAGATGGTTATTATCGTATTAAATTTCATCATTTTCATGAACGTTATCTTGGTGAATATCAAGCTGTAATAACAACTAGTGCAGGTTCAGTACGAACAAAAATAGTTCGAGTTGCTGGACAACAAGCACCTGTATTTACTCAAGCACCACCGAAATTTATTCAAATAAAATCAGGTGAAAAATTAACAATTGAATGTATGGTTAAAGGACATCCAACACCAAAAGTAACTTGGTTACGTGATGGAAAAGTTTTATCAAATAAAGATGGTTTTGAAATTAAAACTGATTCAACAACTGGTCATGGAATATTTATTATTCCAAGTGGATCAGTTAAATATTCAGGCAAATATGAATGTAAAGTTGAAAATCAATATGGTACACATACAGCTGAAATTAATATTGATGTTCTTCGTAAGTTTACAAAAGAAAATAATGATTTATAGACTTTGTCTTTTTTTTTTGTAATTTTTATTTTGCTTCGATCTTTTTTTTTTCTTCATTAGCACCAACAGTTACACAACAAAAATTAAAAGATTTTGATATATCACGTGGACAAGAAGTTACAATAACGGTTACAGCTAGTGGTACTCCATTACCATCTTGTACATGGTTTCATAATGATAAACAACTTTTTCAAAAAGCTAATCGTGTTGTAATGATTGATGATGGACCAACACATATTTTGAAATTACTCGGTGTTGAATTAGCTGATGCAGGACAATATAAAGTAAGATAAACATAAAACTTCTTTTCTTTTTTTAAAATTTCTCTTCTTTTTTTTTAAGGCAGTTGTTCAAACTGACATGGGTACAACTGAATTAGTCAGTCAAGTCACTGTTAGAGGTAAAATGAAATATTTAAATTAACTAATTTTTTTCTTAATATGAATTGATTAGATGTATCTGATGAATCATCAGTGCCAGTTGACGTTCGTGCAAGTCAAGGTGGTTCCTGTACACTTGAATGTCAAACATCAGGTACACCATTACCTCAAGTCATATGGACAAGAAATGGTCAAGAAATAAAATCAAATGAATATTTTCTAATTGAATCATCTCCAAATGGTAATCATCGTTTAATTATAAGTAATGCTCAATTTGAGCATGCTGGCAAATATGTTGCAAATGTTAAGCATAAAATACAAACACAATTTATGAATTTTAATGTTATAGTTAACGGTAGGTTTCATAATAAATTTAATGTAACGATTATTACATATAAGGAATTTATAACTTTGAATAATAAATATTATTTTATATGTATATATAAGATTTTGACGAGTACAATAACCTACAATAGTGGGCAATATCTTGGCCACTGTACGTGCTGGAGATGTGAAAATTTGCGTACACGCACGTCACCAAGAATGTAGATCATTGGTATTGCTACGCCATTATTACTCAATCATACAGGAAGTCGTGATAGATGTCTCGTATTTTTGTTGTCAATCTCATAATTCTGAAAAGAAAGAGTATTCTGCGTTATCCGACTCCTCAATATGTATTGCTATGCCCTAGCTATCTACATTAATAATTTCATTAAAATTCATCAATCCTTTCAGAGATTATGCTCATTTTATTGCGATCAATATTATGTAGAGAAACTATTTACTGTCCTTTGAAGTTCATTAACTTAGTAATAGTTCAATGAAACGACTTCAAACTTTTTCTACAGTTAGATATTATTACCTGTAAGTTTCAGAGATGAATCTTGTACTAAAGAGAAATGGAACATAAATGATAATCTTGTTAGTTCGAAGGATCCAGAAACATCAATATTCGAGCAAATGAATTTATCTTTTGGGTGAGGAAATATTGTAGATGGAACTTCAGTTACATGTCAAAAACATCAAGAATTAGTCATCTTTTTAATAAGAAATAGCGTAAAATTTTGTAGACAGTCTTTTTTAGGTTATAATGCTCATAGCAAAAATTAGATATCGTCTATCATAACTCCCTTTGTGATTAAACAATAATGATGCTGTAATGCCAATGATTTTAATTCTTGGTGAAGTACGTGTACACAAATTTTCAGACCACTAGCATATACAATCGTCAAGATCGTCTGGGAAGGGGTAAACTTTTGTCCACTATTGTATATTTTAAGGTTCAAACTATTGCATAGTTGTCGATAATTATCTATGAAATAATAAAAATTATTTTGATACAATGATAATGAAACTGAGTATGTGTGTCAAAGAATATATTCAGTATTATTAGTATATATTCTCAAATCACCATTTGAAACTTACGCTATAGATATAGCAGCATTCTTGATTTTTGACAACTGGTATCGGTTCTATCTTTTTTGCACTAACTCTAGACATTTTTCTTTTATTGATAAATCTATATAACATTCCATTAAACCTGAATCATTTAGATAAATTTTACCGTGAAAGAGTAAACGATTCGAAGAAGATCAATCCATCGTTATTGATGCATTGCAATGTCATTTTTCATGTATGCATGCATATCTAGCACTAAAATGATAGATTTCTCCTAATGAATATTATCATTATCTCTGTGAAATTATTTATCAATATGTAGAAATAATATATCATCGCTGTATAATTTTTATAAATACTTCAAATTTGTTAACTAAAAAGAAATTAATACAAAGATGAATCATAAAAATTTTTCGTTTTAGAACGAAAAGCATCAACAACAGCAAGTGCAACAATTAATTTAACAGGACTAAGTAAGTATATATAAAAATAAAAAATAATATTTCGAAAAAAAAAACAACATATCAATCTATTATTTTATGAAGATCCTGAACAACAAATACAACAAATACAAGCTCAAATTCGTCCATTATTTCTTCATTTTGGTTTACAAGATATTCCTCGTTCTTTAAATGATATATTATTTAATACAGCTCAAGATAAACAATTTCGTACAAGTGAAGATCAATTAAAAGAACGAGAACGTTTATTAATATTGCTTACAAATTACTTATATCAAAATTCGAATAATAAATTAGGCAATGGAAGAAAATTTAATTGGCCCGAAGTAGTGAAAATTATTTTTTATAATCGTTTTACACTAATATCACAAACACATAAAATTATTGATATTCCTGATGGATATAATGTTCAAATAAATGATCTTATTCAATATTCTAAATAACCAAATATATACATATATAGATAGAGTTTGTCTTTTCATTTTATTATTATATTAATTAATCGTTTCATTAATGCATTGCTATTTTTATCCTTTTTATTTACCTTTCCTTTATGTATTTTATAATTTTTGTTTTTTTTTTTAATTTCTATATAATAATAAAATATCCTTTATTTAAGATTATAAGTATGTAACAAAAAAATAGTCTATGAAAATAAAATCATTTATTTGTCGAATGATGAAAACTTGAAAAAAGAAATTTAAAAAAAAAATTACATTTTATTTTTTAATGAGATATAATTACAATATTCGACGATGATTATTATTAAATCATCAAAACGAACGATAAATGAAACAATCAGATTTTCTAGTTGTCGAAGTGATTTGTCTCACAAAGAATATTGATGACGTGAGTGTTAACATTCAGTGATAAGATAAGAAGAATAAATGTATGTTGACAGTGCTTTACTTCTTAAATACAATTATTAAACTATACAAAGCGCTCCTAAGAATTCTCTAAGAATAAAAATAATCGTTTTTTCTTTAGACATAGTTTCTAGATGCAAAATTGTCATTTATGTAATGCATTTAATTGGGTACTAAGTAAATACTTTTCTGCAAATTACACATGATTTGTTAGATTAGAACTTCAAGTGACAGAATTCAATACTCAAGAAAAATTCAAGAACTTACTCCGATTCATAAATTTAAAGGAAAAAATTTGCATTTATATGTGACACATTTGCAGAATCATGTATTTCTCTTCAACATGTCATTTCATTGCAATTTTGTTTACATTTTTTCACTCAGTACTATTTTTTTTCCCAGACGATTAAAAATGAATTACACATCAAGATAGTTCGAGAATCATACTGTCAATCACATAAAAAAGTACGAATGACGATGTGGGTAAAAACACAACCACACTCAATCAACTATACATACTTGAAAGTGTCATATGTGATACAGTTGAAAGACATTGATATATACATCGTTACCTTAACGATTTTCCTTCATCTTTGCACACGTCACATTGAATTTGTTTCGTTATTCTGTGTAAGAAAAAAAAAATAACTCAAGCATGACAAAGATTGATGACTCATTGTCAATAAACACATAGAGATGAAGAAAAATAAATCTCAACAGACATTCATTATAACGAATTATACTGTTTGAAAACAAGCAACATTTATGTCTGATAAAGTTACTTCACCTTTTTTGGCATTACCTGTTGAGCTTATCTATCGCATTCTGGACAATATCGATGAATTAACAATTTTATGTTCAGTTTGCAATGTTTGTACACGCTTGAATATGATCATTGATACATACCATCGATATCAGGTAAATTTTACTATTATCATAGAGTCAGATTTCGATCATCTTCATGACATCATTCAGTTCAACAACTGATTATTTTATTCATTATAGAATACTAAAACTTCGAGAGTAATATTGTGATTTTGATGAAAACGACCAGAAAGAAAACAAATAAATACATTATCCAAGTCATTCAAAGATTTTATTGAGTTTCATACTTTTCTGTCAAACTTTGACAAACAGAAAATAAAGTTAACATATTCAGCCCGATTCAGTTTTATTACAGAATAGGTCTAGCAGATTCATTTTTATGTGCATTCGTTGTCCTTTTCATTCTGTGCTGGCTCGTTGTTTTCTCTTTTCTGATTAGTATATCACATGGACAGTTATATCTATGCATCACATACTGGTTTTTACCAACATAACATATTGGGTTTTCCCAGTATGTTATCACATGTTTTATATTGGACTTTTCCTAATAATATACTCGTTTACGTCATACTTGGTACTCTCCAACATGCTTATATATGCATGTGTCGGTGCTTCTCTTCCTACAGTCATTCGCTATTACATTCACTAGTTCTCGTACTAATTCTATTCCTTCCTTTCCTTTTTTCTATTGTAAAACTCCCTTTATGATGTTGAGATACGTATATCTTGATTGTTTTAATGAAAAGCATCATGCTACGGAATAAAGGACTCAAAAAATACTGAAGATAGAGCAGGTGGCACATTATGTGTAACCTCCTGCCTGAATAAAAACCAAAAGAAAGCAGTTTTGCATACAGTTTCTTCTTAAAATATAGTGTGACCCACCAGTGGATCACATCTGGCTGAATGAGTTAATATATTTTTAAAATATCCCACATGTTTGCACATCACAGTTTTGCTTTTCTACAATAATTGTAGAAAAGACTCCTTGAAATGAATTGAGTTGAAGATCGTAGAAAAGTTCTAGTTGAATTTCATGAATTTCATACTTCTTCAATTTACGAAAACTAAACATTCAATAAAGAAACAAAGCCATCAAAAGAAAATAAACATTATGTTAAGAAGTTTTAGGATCTAAGAAACAGTAAGAGCTATGAGAAGTTTAGGAACTCTAAGAACGCTCTGATATCATAATAGTTTCACAATTATCCAATGAATGATAATAGGCTCTTATAGTCAAAGAACATGAATAACAAATGGTTTTTGCGCAGTTTTACTGTAAGACTTATAACATAGGTAACTTTGTCCTTGATTCACAACTTTTCTATCTCATTTAATGAAAATTGAGGAATACGAACAGTTGTTTGGTTTCTAAGAAAACATGGAGAAGGGAAAATCCAGGACTGTAAATGACAGGATTTGTGATAGAAATCTTCTGTAATGCAAAAAATGATATTCTCTTGATGAAGATTTCCATAGACCGCAAGTGCAGAGCCATAAGATATTTAAACCAAACATGAACACTAAGTAAAATAAAGAAATATTCAAAGTCGTTTTTTTGACTGTACTCTGGAATTACTAAGTTCAAAAAACTTTGTATTCCTATTTTCTTAAAGTTGTTGAATGGAAGACCATCTCCATAGATGGCTTTTATAACTACACTATGCAGTTCATCTTTGTATTTAGTTAAAATCAATACTGAATTAGTTTTGATCTGTCATTATGATGAGAATAAAAAAATGCTCTTCAATTGTGTATATTGCCTAGGTGTTGTCTCAGATTTGTATCGAAAATGGCATTGGGTTTAAAAAGCTCGAAAAGACATATTATTAAGTATGATGGAGGTGTAAGAAGTGAAATTTTTTCGTTTCAGAAACAGAACATCAGTGAAGAAATCTAACTCAAAGTTGACAATTACTGAGCTAACATTTTCTTAGGTTATTTTGAATCTCGCATCAAATG